GTTGCTTCTTGGAAGCCCAGGAAATAGGGCTGGAACCACAATACACAATAAAGCCAGAGGTTGACCGTCAATCATTGGGATCACCGGCCCAATCGTCATCACTATACGCGTGCAGAGAGAAGGGACCAGGTTGGAAATTAATGCCATAATGAAGTGTACCACTGAGATATCGAAGAATGCGCTTGACAGCAACAACATGAGAATTCATAGGCTGATGCATAAACTGACAACACTGATTAACAGCAAATGCAATATCAGGACGAGTAAAAGTCAAATATTGCAGAGCACCAACTATACTTCGATATTGATCCGGACTGTGATATGGATCACCATCATCCTTTAAGAGCCGATGATACGGAAGACAAGGTGTAGCACAAGGTTTGGAGTGACTCATGTCCACCCGAGCTAGCAATTCTCGGACATATTTCTGCTGAGAAACAAATAAACCAGTTGAATGATAAGAAATCTGCAAGCCCAGAAAATAGTTTAGCTGTCCCAAATCTTTCATATCAAAAGCCTTGGTTAACGCCAAGATGACGGCATCAATATCAGATGAACTACTACCAGTAATGATGATGTCATCTACATAAAGTAACAAGACCACAATCCCAAGAGAAGTGTGTTTAACAAACAAAGAAGGATCAGCAAGGGAAGCCTGAAATCCCAATCCTGGTAAGAAACTAGTAAACTTGTCATTCCAGGCTCTTGGGGCCTGTTTAAAACCATACAAGGATTTATGAAGCTTGCAGACAAAATTAGAAGGATGATGAGGACTCCCAAAACCAGGAGGCTGGGACATATACACTTCCTCATGGAGATCCCCATGTAAAAAGGCGTTTTTGACATCAAGCTGCCTTAAAGACCATCGAAATTGAGCTGCAAGTGCTAAGATAAGGCGGACAGTAGTTGGCTTGACTACAGGACTGAAGGTCTCACCATAATCAATGCCCTCCTCTTGATTATACCCCTTAGCAACTAGCCGTGCCTTATATCGGGCTATAGACCCATCTGGATTCTTTTTGACCCGATACACCCATTTACAACCAACCAAGTTCTTCCCAGATGGAAGAGGAACCAAATCCCAAGTATGTTGAGCATGTAAGGCATCGATTTCATCCTGCATAGCAGACTGCCACTCCACAATCTTACTAGCAGCTTTGAAGGTTGAGGGTTCAACATCTGATTGCCCAACAGAGGATATAGATGCCACAAAGGCTTTCTTCTTAATAATGCCACTTTTAGACCGAGTTTGCATGGGATGTAAACTCACAGTAGGCACGGGAAGAACAATTGGAAGATTTTCTGGTTGAAAATCAGGATCAGCAGGGACTGGAGACTGTGTAGAGTGTGAAGATGCAGGTACAGGAGGTGAAAGAGAAGTCAAATACTCTGAAGCATGATATATAGGGTCAGTGAGAGGGAGAGATGATGAAGAAAACTCTGGAGCTCGAATTGGGGAGGCCAAGGACTCAGAGGCACTAGTGGGTGCATGAAGGAACTCTGAAGCTCTAGTGTGTTGAGACAATGGGAAAGATGCATGAGATGCAGATGTGTGAGGAGAGACAACAACATTTTGACCTGTGACCAGTGGTGTAATAGATGGTGGTGTGACAAACACAGGAGAACACTGTGAAGGTTTGACAAGTAAGTGTTTGTAAGGAAAATTAGTTTCATAAAAAACAACATGTCTAGAGACATAAAACCGCCCTGAGAGAGGATTAAAACAAATATACCCTTTGTATTGACCTGCATAACCCATAAATATACATTGAACTATTTTGGGTTGAAGTTTGTTGGTATTGTAAGGCTTGAGCAAGGGATAACAACTACACCCGAAAACTTTTAAATGTGTCAAAGCAGGAGGTTGAGCAAAAAGACAAGTATAAGGAGACTTCATAGACAACGTGGAACAAGGCATGCGGTTAATCAAATAAACAGAAATGGCACATGCATGAAACCAGAACTGTGGAGGTAATTGAGCAGTGCTTAATAAAGTCAATGCAGTTTCAACAATGTGTCTGTGCTTTCGTTCAGCAAGGCCATTCTGTTCAGGTGTATGAGGACAAGACTTTTGATGAATAATGCCTTTATCTAACAAAATTTGCTGAAAACGAGTACTACAATACTCACCACCACCATCACTTTGAAAGGTTTTAACCGAGGTAGAAAACTGGGTGGATATAAAAGCATGAAAATGCACAAAGACTTGAAACACCTCACTTTTATTTCAAAGGAAATATCCAGGTAAACCTGGTACATTCATCAATGAAAAGTACATAAAACTTGTATCCCTCAACTGACATAGTAGGTGATGGTCCCCACACATCACTATGCAAAACCTCAAAGGGTTTAACTGACTTATGGGCAGGAAAAGAAAAAGGTAGCTTAGTACATTTGCCTTCTAAACAGGAAATACACACATGTTTAGAGGGATCAACAGAAAATGAGATTTGTGACTGATTCAACATTGTTGAAACCACAGCATTGGACGGATGCCCCAATCTGTTGTGCCACAAACTTGTGTTGATTTGATGACCAAGAAAGCAGGTTTGATTATTTGTGAGAGAATGAGATGTATGAGATGCTTTAGGAAGTATATGCTGAGGTATATGAAATGGAATCGGGTACAAGCCATCCCTACACAGTCCCTGCAGCAGTATTGTCCCTGTGATCTTGTCCTGAATCCAAAAACAGAATTCATCACAGATAAATCTACAATTGTTGTCTTTGCACAACTTATACACAGAGAGCAAGTGCTGTGAGATTTGAGGAACATGCAATATGTCTTTTAACCGAAAAGCATACTTTGGAACATGTAAGAATGAACTGCCAGTATGAGATATTGGCAAACCTGAACCACTAGCAGTGGTTATAGTATCAGCACCAAGGAATGGAGTAGCCTGAGTGAGGTTGGTCAAATAAGATGTCATATGAGAGGTAGCACCCGTGTCAGCCACCCAAATTGTTCGAGTGGTGCAGAAGGTTGATAGTTGGCATGCATAGCAGTTAAGGTAGAAGGTGGTGATCGGCCTTGATAGGAGAAGTTAGCCCTGTGATAGCACTGCAATGCAGAATGGCCAAATTTCCAGCAAATTTGACATTGGAGAGAGGAAGATGGCCCATTTGTGGAAGAATGCCGCTGGAAGCAATCAGAAGCAATGTGACCTCTTTTATTACATATCTGACATGTAGGTATACCATTACCATGGTCAGAACAAGTGGAGATGTGAGGGCGAGCAGGGCCAAGAATCCCAGGGCTGTTATTTCCAGAGAATCGAAAATTGGAACCGGAGCTGTTTCTGCCCCTAGCACGGCCTCTATTATTATGGAAGCCCCGGAAACCTCCAGAATGATAAGGAGGACCATTAGAATGGTAAGAGCCCGAAGAAGCCCTTTGATTAGAAGAACTGCCATGATATGGTCCTGACTGAGATGGAGAAAATCCTTTGCTGTGGGAAGAATCCTCTTCAAGCATAAGACCTTTGCCCTTTGACTCATTACCCTGAGCAAGCATGGCAGTAGTAAAGGAACCAGAAAACTGATTATTCTCAATTGTAGCTTCTTCAGCCAGTAGCTGAGCGCGGAAATCTTTAAGGGAAATCACATTTTCACGCCCTCGAATTACTGTCCTGAAAGTATTATATTCAGAAGGTAAACCTTTTAAAGCCAGAATTACTATGTCATCATCGTCAAAAGAAACTCCAGCTGCTGACAAATGATCACGAACATCCTTAATACGTTGAAAGTACTTGGAAATAGAATCGGAGCCTTTTTGAATGTTTTGTAACTCAAGCTTCATCTGAAAGATACTGGCTTTTGTGACAGTAGAAAATCGATCTCTCAGGTTGATCCAGATCTCATGAGCACTAGTGCAGCCAATGATACAAGACATAGCAGTAGGAGAAAGAGTAGCAATTATAAGTTGCATCAAGCACGATCATGTAATTTCCAGATCTGATAGTTCTCTGTTTCAACACCTTCTTTATCAGGTTCATCCACAAACCGAGAAGGACATAATTTGGAGCCATCCACAAAACCAAGAATACCATGGCTCTCGAGCAACAACCGTAATTGATAATGCCAAACTAAGTAGTTCGTATCATCAAGCTTCACAGTAACAGAAGTAGAAACATTTGGCACAAGATTTGTAATTGGAGACTGGACGAGTTGTAAGTGTGCAGCAGTAATCATATTTTCTTGAATCTCTTGAAGAAATTAGGGTTGGAGAGACTTGTTCGTGACGAAATCAACACAGAACAACAATGCAAAGGCCAAACTTATGTAGATAGCAGTTTAAGAAGGATTATGTCTTCACACACATTTCATCAAACACAACATATGCAAGAAGTCGAAATATCTGCCAGAGGAAGAAGAAGCTTCAATAAAAGAAGACCGAGAGAAATTTCATACCACAACCAGAATCACAGAGAATCGCGGAAGCAGGAGAAGTCAGGAACGAAGAGAATGCCCCATCACTGGCGAGGATACCATGTAGAAATATCAAGAACACAGCTTCAAGCTTATCAATGGTAATCAAGTATTCAAGAAGATGAAAAGACAGAGAGAGAAAAGGAGACAAAGTGAGAGAGAATTTGTAATATATTTCTTGACTGTATTGTTTTCTTAATACAAGCCTATTATCTCCTTTTATACTAGTTACATTACTTGCTCCCTAAGCAACCAATATCTTAACAAACTAACAACTATACTGCCTAATCCATTGACACATGGCAGTATCTTAACCCTTATCATCCTTACGGCTAAAACTGTTGTTGGCAAACCTCGACGACCTCTACTACAGTATTGGGCTGGTTTCTTAATAATGACAATTATGTTGGACTCAATCCAATGTGACAATGAGAAGCCAACAATTCATTACAAAATTTGTTTCTCGAAAAACATGAATTAAATGAGATCAACTTGAAAGAGCACGCCAGCTTCAGAATGTTTTTTAACGACAGTGTCCAGCTAGTGAGAAACCATGATCGACATATTCCTTGTTGCATTCAATTGGTCCAACATTTCTGCAATATATCATACGTATTTTGAACTTATGAAATCATACATCTTTGCTTCTTGATTTTTGGTTCTCATATTTTTTTCTTCTATACAAATCAAGGAGCTTCAAAGTGAAACGTTTCCTGGACAGATTATAAGGAGGAGTGCACTAGAACCTATAATTATGCCAATCTCCTTAATAGTTATAGGAGTTGGATGAGGAGCATAATCTGATCTTCCCATGATTGCAGTATCACATTGTTTTTTTTTTTTTTTTTTAATACGAGCGATACTGGGGGAGGGGAGAATCAAACGCAGGATCTCTGATGTAGTGGATGAACGATCATGACCACGTAAGCTACAAACCGTTGCACAATCTTTCAGTGCAGCATGGCGTTTGTCACATATGACTTGAAATCTATTGATGCAAGCAGTTTTTTCATTTACGCAAGTTAAAACAACAAACCATGCTATAAATTAAAAGAGAGAATAAAACGAGAAACAGATACAAGCTTTTAAACTTACGGATCTTCTTCTATGTTAGTGAGTTTGCAAGGACCAAACTCTTCGCATCAAAGTCCAATCAAGCAACTGAAATAACAGGAGAATGCTTGAAACTTTGCTGCTGCCTGTTAACTGGGCTTTTCACAGACAATCGTGATGCACCAAAACAGAAATACTGTCTCCTCGGCCTCTTATTAAGCGAGCCTTGTTTCGCCAAATTCGGCGGTTCGTCATCAGCTACTTCAGTCGACCAAGACGGTCCTGCAATGTCAGTTTCCATGCAAACGTTTTTCTGAATATCTAGAGAAGTAGGTGAAGAAATTGAGGATGATTTCGAAAATGAACTAGACCGAGAACGACGTGGCACAGTTATGTGCGGAATTGCCTGCATTACGCCACGCCTTATGCCACAAGCAAACCTCTTTTTCGCTGATGGACTTGACTGGTTGCTCCTCACCGAAAGTGTCCGCTTGTTGCTGGGAACTGATGAGACTGAGGGCCTCGAAAATCTCTGTCGAAGCGGGGTCGGAGCTGCATCATCTGAGCTTTTGTTGCATATTTTAATAGACTCTACTGATCCCAAATCAACCGATTTCTTGAACCTTTCGTGCTTTTTCGGTTTCATTTGTGGCCAGCCTACGACACGTTTTAGTTGTGCTGCTGCATTATTTACAGAACCAGGTTTTTTACTAGCGAATGAGCTGCCGTTATTTTCAGCAGTTGGATACGGACTGATCAGTTCGGGTGGAGATGAATTGATTCCTATGCTACGGCGATCAGCAGTAGCATCTGTTACATTTTCAATGCCAGTATACAAGAAGATTTCCGTGTCAGAGATTCTAAATGATGTTCCGGGACTACCTCCATCGCCTTGTGTCTTCAAGCGTGAAGCAATCGCTTTTCTTGCATTGTAATCCTGACAACCAAATATTCCCCCAGCCGAAATCAACTGCCTGATTAGTATATCAGATGATGCCGAACGAGGCCATTGCCTAATGTAATCTAGCGCTGTCATGCCATCCACATCGCGGGCGTTCACATCAATCGATTGCACAATCATCAGGAGTTGGACTAAATCGGAATGCACATCCCCAATGATTGCTGTGTGAAGGGCAGTCCGTCCTTCGTTGTTTTTTGCATTGATGATTTGTTCGATATTGAAAGCTTTCTCGCACACCAGTTGCTTCAGAAGCTGAATTTGTCTGTCCAGTCTTCGGAAGGCAGGGCTTTGGAAGCCGGATATAGCCTTGTGGAGAAACGTTTCTCCGGAGTTGTTTCGTGCATTAATAGACGACGGAGATGCCAATATAAGCGCTTCGGCTGCGGCTAGTTGGCCCCTTGAAGCTGCAACATGTAACGCTGTGTCGCCTTGGAGATCAGTGGAGTTTATGATATCAAAGGATGCTACAAGATACTTCACTACCTGCATGAAAGAAAAGATTGGTTGATTCAGGGAAAATAGCGAGGTGACAAACATTGAAAACAAAGACAACGCAAGTCTAGCTAAACTCAAAAAAGGAAAATTAACAAGGAGAAATCTAAAAAATGTGGAATTACAAATGGATTTGCTTTCTAAGTAAATCCATAACAAGAGTGAATTGAACTTTGGAATAATAATATGAATCAGTCATCTAGCATTAGTCCTGTGACGGAGGACACATTCAAACAGTTGATAGGACAATGATATCGTGTCGATATATTCCATTACCGCCAACAAATTATACTGATACGTTACTATGCATTTTGACAATATCGATACAGATCCGTTCTTGCATAAAATAACATATGCATCCAACAAAAATGTAACAAGAATGCCTTGAGAATTTATGTTAAGAATTTTGTTTATAGTTTGTTTCACTATAAGCAAAATGGTAATCAAAACAACCTAATTTTCTCTTCATGCTAAAATATATGATTTTCGATAATATATATGGACCAATGCATCTGTTCCGCACAGAGAATTTATGCATCCAACATATATGGTAACAAGAATGCCTTAAGAATTTCGTTTTAATTGTTTCATTAAAAACAACTCAAAATAAAGTGATCATCAAACCGACCATAATCATCACTTTAATTACCCTAAATTTTTATGATTTTAAGTCATCATCCGCACCAACAATTGCTACCAGGAAGCACTTGACTGATTAAGCTGATACATCCTTGTAAAAGTGTAAGAAAGAAAGCACTTTGGAAAGGAAACAAAGATTAAATCTTTGCAAAAGCAGTTTTAACAAAAGTGGGAAGCTTCTCACCTCTACCCGCCCTTTCCCAGCCGCTGCATGTAGCACAGTTGATCCCTGAATATCCCCATAAGCCAAAACATCCTCACAATCCGAAAGAAGCTCCTTCAAAACACTCAAATTTCCGCCTCTCGCCGCCGCATGAACCGCCCTGTTAACCATCTCCCGTTTATAAACACAAGGTATCTCCCCAATGTGCTCTTCCAGCTCTCCACCACTCCCCGTCATAAACCTCGGCGAAACTGCAAAGTCAAAAAGCAGCCTGAAAATCTCAACATTCTTGCTCTTCGCAGCAGCATATAAAATATCAGTCACCCCGTATTCTCCTTCCCCGAAAACAAGCAGAGGGTTTCTCTCGAGCAGTTCTTGGACAAAACCAAGCTCCCCGGCGGAGGCAGCGGTGTACATAAGCCAACCGCCGTATCCAGCCCTTATGAGAGAGTTTGGTTTTCCTTTCTTGGACTCGCATTCGTTGAAGAGCTTTCGCGCAACGCACGAACGACACTTGGCTACATCATCATACTGAGCTTCGTCGTCCCACACTGCCTCGAGGCGGCGAATACGGCGGAGAGATGTGAGCTTGATGAGGTGGTTGCCGTCTATGCGGAGAAGCTCTCGAACCAAGTCGTAGTGGCCGTTGGCGGCTGCGTAATCGATCGGAGACGCGTACCACCATTGGTCTCCGGTGCTTTCCCACCGGAGAGGAAAATATGTAGGAGGCATCTTCTTGCAAAGGTAAGAGAAACAAGAGAAAGCAACAATATTTTTCAGAAATAGTTGATATAGAATTAAAACATGCGACACAATTCAAGCTAGCATGAAAAATTTGTACATGGGAACCGGGAACAGAATACGATTCAGAATCTGCAGTCAGTTTTTCTTCTTTTCTCGTCGTTTGATTTGTTAACGGAATTAAGGCAACCAACAACCAAAAATTGAGTGGGAGAGAGATGAAGCAATGAGGGAAGATTTAAAGCAGTTGATCAACTACCAGCTATAACAGAAGGACATCAACTAATAGCAAGGGGAGTTATTTAAATTTTTTTTAATGGTAGATGGCAAGTTTAGAGGGATGAGATGAATAATTAATAATATCAAGTAATATGGGATGGGAAACAACAATCATAGCTAACACAAATGGAAAACAGAAAAGGGAAGAGTCCCCCTTATTGGATGAATTAAAGTTGTAGAAAAAAATAATGTAATAGGCTTTAAGGTCGATCGCAGAATATTTTCAAAAGATAAGGAAGGGGAGGCAGAAGATTAGGAAAGCACTAGGTAGATCATATTTTATAATTTATATGATGGACAGTTGATAATAGAATATATATTTTTTAATGATTGAATAAGAAATTAGTCATTAACTGTCGCCTCATGTAGTTTATAAAATATAATTAAAAAATTAGTCTCTCTAGTATCACCCAGACGATTAACATATGACAAGTATGCACATATATTTTTAGCTGAAAATAGGATGTTTGAAGGGAAACAAGGCCAACTTGACTGATCTAATAGTCACCGTAACAACAAATCTGTGAATGCGACAAACACGAGAAGCAACAAAATGAATGCGGCTTATAATCTGTTTAGTTTCATATGATTTTACATTTTACTATAAATTCATAATGCATATTTCATCTTAATAGTGTGTGAGAGAGAGTTTGGTTTGGGTTTTTCATGGTTGACTAGTGGGTAACTAATAAACCTCTTCCCGGCACAATAAACTATCCTGAGGTGAAATGTGATTCCTTTTGTACTGAGAAAGTTAGAGATAATGATGGGGGTGATGTAGAGAGAGAGATTAAGTTTACCGATATTGGTTGGAGTAATGATAGAGGAGAGGACTCTTGGTAGCGGGTTGAAAGATTTTTACGTCACGAGTGATCCTAAAAGGCTGAAAATGCAGAGTGCTTTTGAAGTTAGAATTTTTGAGAGAGTCGGTCTTACTTAACGATTAATTTTAACCTGTTTGATAGGTTTTTTAGTTTTTAAGAAATCAATTACGAACTAGTTTAAAAAAATTAAAATTAAAAACAAAATAATTATCAAACATTCTTTTATTATAATGAAGGTGACACTTCACCGAATAATCCACTTTCTTGTCTCATGAACTACTCAACCATAGATAAGACTGATGATGCTGAAAGATGCCTGAAGATCTCAAGAATAATAGTCGAATATTATCATTTTAATAACAAGATAATTAACCAGGGAACGAAAATATCAGAAAAGTTTTAGGAATTTGATCAACTTGAAAAGAAGTTGAATTTTCTAGTAGCTTAATACTGGGATGGACGGTGTGGCTGGCTGCTCAATCCACAATCCAACGTCTAAAGTTCCGGCAGTGCAATTCCATGTCACCCACAACTTTTGACGTTAATAAAGCTATTACTTGCAATATTAAGACCTTAACCAACCGTCTAATTCTTAAAAATTTTGTAGACGTAAGATGATGGTCATATGGGTTAGAGTAGATGCACTTCTTATTAGTGTAGATGTGCTCTTCAATTGTAAGCTCATATTCGAATCATTCTCTTTATATTTTAGATTAAATTAAAGTAGATCATCATTTATATTAAAAAAGAGAGTTTGATTTCTTTGTTATATTTTTCTTTTATCTCCTGTAGAACAAAGTGTCCGTTTTTATGTGGTTTATATGCATACTTACATGCTTAACTACCACGTGAGTTTCTTGAAGTTTACTCAAATATCATCCAAATCAATACCAAAGCACGCGGAAATGCTAAATAACAATACCTAAAAGGAGCTGTCGAAGATCCTAGTTGTGATTGTTAATCGTTCCGAGAGATGCTAAAGTATATACTAGCAACTAAGCATAGAATACATGTAAGGTTGGGTGAACTCTGTTGCATGTTTACTTGGAGAGAAACTAACCCACAACACGGATGTCATTGAAGACGGCATTTCAAACCAGTTACTAATTAGACATTGTGATGCATTTTAATTGTCTTGTAAAATAATATATAACTGGCTCGAGATACGAACACATCTTCATATTACATGAAATTTCTTCTCATGAGGTTGGCACTACAGAAACTCCATATGCAACTTCACACTCAGTCTGACTGGAACACACATAACTGATAACTGTAGCTAAAACAAAAGTAGAATCAAGATGGGGTGTCCATGTGAGAGGGAGGCAACTTTTTTAACTTTTGGAGTAGGTCAACATTCAAAAGCTACATATTATAGAGAGGGGGTGGGTAAAGGTAAGGGGTTACTAACTTTTTAACAACAATAATGCATGTTTGCATGTGACATGTCATATATCAGTTCCCTTTCAACTTTTCCATCACCTCCAGGATTCCTTCGTAGCTTTGATTTTTTCTGTGCTTCGTTCTGCATGCAGTGCACTCCACCAGTAGTCTCCTTCTTTGCTTTAAAATAAGATTGGTGAAACCCTAAATCTTCACATGGGATATACTGCAGAAAGAAAAACCTATGATAATTCGCTGGTCTCCATTTCAACACAACAGCGACCTAATGCTCTGCGTGCGTGCAGCTTATATCCCCAATAATATTGGAGTAGCGGACTCCAACCCTAAGGCACTACTGCTATATATACCGTTATCACTAGCACTATCATTATCGTAGATTCATACATGATCTAGAAAATATACAAACTTATAGATCTAGATGAACCACCATCACCATGAATACTTAAAGATAAGAATATATATATATATATATATATATATATATAGAAGTGAAAATAGGTGCGATCATAAATAAAGTTCCTGTTTCATACAAGTGATATATATTCATCAAGTTCTACTTATGATCGATCCCACCTATTTTGTGAAATGAAATCTACGACTATAGTTACAAGATTGAGTGAACTTCCAATGTGTGACATCTCTTTACATACCTTCATTACAACAAATGCCCCTCCAAGTTGACCTAAGAACAGAGAAAAAAAGAAAGAATGAACACTTTTGCGAAGGAAAGTGTGGAATGAAGAAAAAGTGTGCGGAAACATGAATCGATTGGAAGATCGAATGTCAGCCACCCAACCATTGTTAAGTTGGGTGGTATAAGGCCTAATTAAGGACGACAGTACGTAGTAGGACAGGAGATGGTGCTTTGCATCCCACCACCACCACCAACAGTAACTCCACCACCAACAATTATGATCTATAAATTATTATATTAAAAATCTTCTCAAAAGTATATGGACCCTGCAATGATTCAATCAAATTATATTAAAGTGTATATGACCTGCGAATCTGCATATTAACATGTAATTAACTCAGGGATAATATAACCATTTCATTCCATACCTTCATATGTCATCACTTGAACTCAAATAGGAACCAACACCATCAACAAAGTTTTATCTCACTAAGTGAGATCGACTACATTAGTTCTAGAACGCCACAGCGAGTTTTGTGCCAAGTCTTCCGTTAGTTTCAAGTACTCCATATATTCTCTTAAAGTCTCTTTCCTAGTCTTCCTAGGTCTTAATTTAATTGTTTTGCTCTGAGCGATATGTTTCATATTCGTATTTTCAAACCCGAGCATCGAAAGGTCTTCACATCACATGTCCAAACCACCTTAACCATTTTTCTCTCATCTCATCTCCATAGTTTTTCTTCAAATAGGAACCAAATTAAGATTTACAACATCTTAATTTTTTTTTTCTTCTTAAGAAAAGCCATAGTGATGCATCCACACAAACAAGACAAATGCCATAATTCCACTTAGTTAATTAGGATTTTAATTGATGACAAACAAATTACATAGAATGCTAAGATTCTCTCACCCTTGAATCACTGTGATAGGATAGGAGTTTCGCTTCTTTCTCTCATCCGCAAAGTCTTTCTTTTACTGATTCAGAAATATGAATTGGATAACAATTAATAAATCTAGTGGTATTCCTCTTCAAAATCACGCATGACTTTCTGGCATCCTCAAGAATTTGAAACTTTTGTACATTTTTCTTTTATTTCTCTTACCACTACAACAAACTCTGATATTCATGTTTTTCAAAGTATATTTTTTTCTACGTAAAATCTTTTATAATTCTTATTTAAACACTTGTAATCAACGATTTAAAACATAAATTTAAATATATTTGAACCTGTTTTTTTGTTAATTTTTATTTTATCTAAATCTAAACTACATATTAATAGAATCTTCTTTGTCAACCAAACGAGGGTGAAAGAATATTTAACAAAACAAATTTGACAATGTTGTAGGCCTCACTACTAGGGCTGGTTCGGGTCGGGATCCCGAACCGAAACCCCGAACCCGATTCCCAAACCAAAACATTTCGGGATGGGATTTTATATCCCGAAACCGAACCAAAACTATTGGAATCCCGAAATTCGGGATTCCCGAAAGTGTTTCGGGATTTTCGGGATTCCCGAAACTGAACCAAAACTATTGGAATCCTCCTTGATCTTATTCCTCACAGTCACAATAGCTCTCACCTTCAACTTCGCAGGCTTCTCAGCAGAAAAAACAGGCACAATCTTCACCAAATCTTCACTGATGGCTGCCACAGGACCCCTCTGTGCCCTCCTCAAATGGACCAGCCTCCTCTGTGAAGGAACCAAACTTGCTCTGGCCAAAAACAACTTAGAAGATGATGAAAAAAACTCAGAGTTTTCAATCAGAGAACTACCAATGATTTGTTTAGCCAGTGCCATCTTATTCTTCTTCCTTAATTCTCTGCAAAACTATATTTGTTCGAGAAAGTTTGAATCCTTTTCTTTTCTTGCTTTGTACAGAGAAAAAAAGAATGGTAGTTGCAGAAGAAGTGAGATGATTTATTTGTTAATGGAATATGCAGAATACGATGAGTTGGTGCTCCTGATTTATTTGTTAATGGAATATGCAGAATACAATGATTTCTTTCTCATTCTCTCTCGAGGCACAGAGATGAAGCGTTGCATGCAACTGGGAAAGCTTCTAGGCCTACTAACCTGGATTTTGGGACTCGATTGGTGTCGGATTCGAGTGTGTGAGTGAGTCGATGGAGAAGCGTCAGTCCATGGAGAAGCGGCGTGAGTCAATGGACGACGAGGACCGGCATGGATTCGACGGAGGAGTGGAGCGGCATGAGTCAATGGAGTGATGGACGATGAGGAGCGGCGTGGATTCGACGAAGGAGTGGAGCGGGGGGACTGTGAGAGTGAGTGAGTGAGGTGAGCGGCGCCAGTGAGGTGAGAGAGCGAGAGTGACTGAGTGAGTCTGATAACCTAAGTTCTAACAAACAAATGACCTAACTATGGACGGTTGGATTTGATTTTAACAAATCCAACGGTTCAAGTAATTTCCAATTAAAAATTAAAAATAAATAAATAAATAAATATATATATATATATAAAATATTCGGTTCGGTTCGGGATTCCCGAAAGCTTTCAAAGCTGTGGCCAAATCTCAAACCGAAACTTTCGGGTCGGGATCGGTTTCGGGTACCGAATGTTTCGGGAAATTTGGTTCGGGAATTTTTCGGGCTAATTTCGGGACGGGATCGGGACGGTTCGGGATTTTCGGGAAAAAATTCCACCCCTACTCACTACTATATTTTTCATTATTTTTTTAGTCTTCGACTTAAATATTCTACTAAATACACATTTGTTGCTCAATAAAATGTAAAACTGCTTCTGAATTCCTTAAAAGTTTCTTAATGCTTAGAAAAATATTTTGCGAAAATAAAAAATTTGCATTTTTGTCAAAAATAAAAAATGGGTGTCACTGTGTCAGGCAAGCTCAACACACGTAAAACAAGGCAGACTTAGCTCATGCAGAATGAGGGGAACCATGGCACGAAAAACAAGGTGGGCACCGCTCATAGAAAACGGATGGGCTTTTGGCACGCAAAATGAGGCAATTTTCATGGAAAATGAGGCGGGATACGTCGCACAAATCGACATCAGCCTTGCACACGAAAAAGGAGATTGGATTTGTGCACGCCAAAATGACATGGGCTCCGTGGACGCAAAAAGGGGCGGGCTTCTAGCATGCAAAAAGGATGCGAACACCTCACATGCAGAATGAGGGGAACCTAGACACACAAGACGAGGCAGGCTTTGCGCATGCAGAACGAGGGGAACCCATAATTTCCCTCGTTCCTTTGTTAAATTTTCTTTTATTTCTCTTACCGCTACAACAAACTATGATATTCATGTTCTTCAAAGTATATTTTCGCGTGCAAAATTTTTTTATAATTGGTATTTAAACACTTGTAATCAACAATTTAAAACCTAAATTTAAAGATATTTGAACCTTTTTTTTGTTAATTTTTCTTATATCTAAATCTAAACTACATATTAATAGAATCCTCTTTGTCAACCAAACGAGAGTGAAAGAATACTTAACAAAACCAAACGAGTCATCTCTTTATTTCTATTCCTCGATTTCCTTTTGATTTATTCAATTTGAAAGCTAAAAAAAATGTGCAAAAAAAAAAAAAAAACATGTGAAAAACACTTCCTGTCTTTCCAAATATAGTGTAAACTTGGATGAGGGAAATAAACTTGGAATTTCAATAAAAGTCAGAATTTATAAATTGACATGCACCAATTCCCTTGTTTGGATTTATAACATAGAAATTTAGAATTTCTGCGTGGAAAAAAAACTTGGAATTTTGGACCTCTAATTTCCAAGTTTAAATTCCATGTAAATAGGTGTCATTTCCCAAATTCTATGTTTGGGAGTTTAAAATTAACAAATTCCGTTTTCAATTCCATTGTTCTTTTAAGTAACCAAACAAAAAAATTCACAAATTCTAGAAAATAAAATCCCTTCATTTCAATTTCCGTCATTTTAAAATTCCTTAGTAATCTTAAATTTCTTCATCCAAACATAGTGTTATTTTTTGGTGAAACGATATATTTTATTTGATGTTAGATTAGCCACCGACATAATTTGCATCCCCTTTCACTTTGCATATATCCAATATTCTTGACTGAACTTGGTTAAATTAGTTTTTTTTTTCCCCATAAGGGAATGAGCTATTATCGGCACTCAAGATAAAAAAAATGAAAAAAAGGTAATGTTCAGCCCAAAATGAATATATTGATGGGCTGATGGGTTTAGGCCCGTTGTCCAAACAAAAATAAAAGCCTAGGCCCATTTCGTAGTTTTCCTCCTGCCCAAGTAGTTAGGGGTTTATAACAAAAATCACATAAACCCTAACTCTCTCCCACTCCGCAAAAACCCATTTCCCTTCCCTCGAATCTTCGTCGTCACCAAGATGGGAAGCAACCAAGCTGCCGTGTCTTTCCTCACCAACGTCGCGCGCGCCGCCTTCGGCCTCGGTGTTGGCGCCACCGTCGTCAACTCCGCGCTCTACACCGTCGACGGCGGCCAGCGAGCCGTCCTCTTCGACCGTTTCCGCGGAGTCATCGACGACACTGTCGGCGAGGGGACCCACTTCCTGGTCCCATGGCTCCAGAAGCCCTACATCTTCGACATCCGCACCCGGCCCCACACCTTCTCCTCCATCTCCGGCACCAAGGATCTCCAGATGGTGAATCTCACCCTCCGGGTCCTTTCGCGCCCCGAGGTCGCTCGCCTCCCTCAGATCTTCAAAACCCTAGGGCTCGAGTACGATGAGAAGGTCCTCCCCTCCATCGGCAATGAGGTCCTCAAGGCAGTGGTGGCGCAATTCAACGCCGATCAGCTCCTCACCGAGCGTCCCCACGTGTCGGCGCTGGTGCGCGAGAGCCTGATTCGCCGCGCCAAGGATTTCAACATCGTTCTGGATGACGTGGCGATCACGCACTTGTCGTACGGGCTGGAGTTCTCGCGCGCCGTGGAGGCGAAGCAGGTGGCTCAGCAGGAGGCGGAGCGGTCCAAGTTTGTGGTGGCCAAGACTGAGCAGGAGAGGCGGGCTGCGATTATCCGGGCACAGGGTGAGAGCGAGGCTGCGAAGCTCATCTCTGATGCGACTGCTTCGGCGGGTATGGGACTGATCGAGCTCAGGAGGATCGAGGCTTCCAGGGAGGTTGCTAACACGCTTGCCAGGTCGCCCAATGTGTCTTACCTGCCTGGTGGGAAGAACATGCTCTTTGGTCTCAACCCTCGCTGATGGTAATTTCTCATTTCACTGCTTCTTTTGTGTTTGATTTGCTTCGTATTTTACTGTTACATTGATTTGGCAATTCATTGGTATTGTTGAATTCTATTTCTGCATCTGTATGGGATCATATCTGCAATCTATGTATATAATCGGAAGTACGATTAAACCATTTTAGAGTACAGACAATCCCTCAATGAAACCGAAAACAATTGGAAAGAGTCGTGCTCATTAGCATCGTAAGAGTTTAGGTTTTCGGCACCAAGAGAGCTAATTCATCAAGTTTGCTAGGCTCAGCTATATCATTTTGCTAAGTTTTGGCGGAATGTTTTCGGCTCCCTTTTGTTCTGAATTTCAAGGGAGTTTGAACTTTGAAGGATTGAGTTATGAGGCAGGCTGCACGTTGTACGCTTCTTACCATTATATACACAAGATACATACTAGGTTTTTGTTCTATTATAGTGTAGTTCACTGGCACCAGTCCGCGAAAAGTTGCATGCCAGCTTGCATGAACTGTGACCATTTGTGTATCTCTTACAATGTTTTTCTTTACCTTTGCGGGTTCTTTCTTGTCTTTCTCATACGTTGCAGTTCCGTACGATATAGCAGACACATTACTTGGTACTACAGCTGTTCCTCGATTGGGAATTCAGATAGTTCTGTTGAAAATTTTTGGTTTTACAATAGTCGATTCCTTTGTGTGACTGGTAGTTCAGCTTCGCATTGCCGATATGTTTGTAGTTTTTAACTAGTTAACCTGATTTTGAGATGGAATGAAGTGGCAATTATTGATTATTTTAAGCTACAGATCTCTATGATGTCGATTGAGGAAATTGGAAAGTGAAGAGATAATTTCAATGTATAACGTAAGTAACATTTGCTTGATCTTGTGAATGAAAGGCCTAAATTTGATTTCTGTGGTTGTTGCCTACATACATGAGAAATATGAATGAGTTTCTTTTTATGTTTTTGTTCCGCCTCTTATGTATCATGATTCATGATACAATAATTGAATCCATATGGGATTCTTTTTATGCCTTTACACCATTTAGTATCAAAAGACCTTCTCATTCCATCAATTTGGTCCTCTCGTTTTCACAATATGAAATAATGGCATTAAGCTTTCCTATTTGATAAGCAATTGTATCGGTTTTCTTTGCAGGGTTCCAGGACATGGCATAACAAGAAGACCAGTCCACGAATACACCGAAGTCTTGAGTGGTTTATTTCTAGAGTAATTTTTTGGTTTTTACGGGAAGGCGGGTGTCTTGAACTTATTTAGAATGAGAGATAAGGTTTAGGAAAGTGCCATGGATGTTGCGTTGATAATGCATTTCTGACTAAGTTCACCTGGATGTTAGTACTTGAATATAATTTGGTGCACTTTTGTTCATATGTTGCAGTGCAGGAGGATGTGTTAACCAAAATTTTGCACCTATTTCAATTGCTTTTTCTCGCTATCGGTTTCTTTATTTTGCTTTCATATCGATATGGCTGGGCTTGTCGTTTACATATTCTTGTGCCTCGGCTTGGTAACGCTTGGGCTTGACATTAGTACATGACGCATTGAAAGCGAATTGAAAGCCAGTCGAGGTGCGTTGTTCCTCCTCTTGTTTTGATATTTCTGCATCTTTCATTTTCTTCTTCGTTTGGTTTGGAAAATACTGTTCAGATTGGAAGTAAAGATGCAGTTAATTGCACGGGGCAGGCACAATAGCGACATTATGTTGGATTACATTTTGACATCTATGGACTCGTTTGAATGTGCTTTTAAAATGACTGAAAACTTTTTTAGAGAAAATGTTTTTTTATTTCAAAAGCACTTAAAAGTGTTTTAGCATCAGTTACGTGCTTATTCCAGGAAGCACTTTAAGTGCTTTTCCAGAATTTACTTGCATTCTTACTACGGATTGGTTTCAAAAACATTTTCATCAAAAGCGTTTTCAGTCATTTTAAAAATACATCCAAACGAGTTCTATAACTTTGCAATATTGACTATAACTTTGCAGTATTGATTGTCTCGATTGCATGTCTCTAAATGCAGTTAACCGCAACCTAGAAAATCTCTATAAACATATGCTATTAATTATTTTATTTTGTATAGGAGAAGAACGATAGATAAACTGCATCTCAAGTTAAAATGTCGTGCCAATTTTGACTACTCGGTATGTCTAAACCCGTACAATGACCATCCCCAAAACTAAAACTAAAGCTTCTAACGCTCTTGGAACCAGTCCCCTACAAAACTGTCACCCGCAGAGATGATCGATTATTCCGAAAACAAGCTTAAGCTGCCCTGCCTCCTAATTAATCCCGAGAAATGGTCGAGTTGTCTATTTAACCGAGGCAATGTGACGGATCAAGTCAATAACTCGTGAGCTGCAGCAAACCAGACCATGTTTAGATCGACTTTTTGGAGCGCAGATAACAGATTCCGTTTGGAATTTATAACGAAGTAAAGAAACTGTACGGAAATTACCTGTAACCCCACTCGTTGTCATACCAAGACACAAGCTTCACAAAGTTGTCGTTCAAAGCAATACCAGCCTTGGCATCGAAAATGCTCGACCTGTTGCATAATTTCCAAATACGTATGATCAACTAATAAAACACAGAGCAACAACTGCGAACAAATTGTCGAAAATTCTCACCGGTTATCACCCACAAAGTCCGTCGACACCACATCTTCGTCCGTGTATCCAAGGATTCCCTTCAGGCTGCCCTCTGATTCTTTCCTGCAAGAACACAACGGAGTCGAGAAATATAGGACCATGCCAGTTATACCATCAGTTCAGAGTCCCGTAGCGAAGAGAAGAATGTCTACGATGCTTACTTGATGGCATTTTTGATCTCGTCGTAAGTGGCCTTCTTCTCAAGTCTCACCGTGAGATCAACCACCGAAACATCCACCGTGGGAACGCGGAATGCCATTCCCGTCAACTTCCCGTTCAATGCAGGCAGCACTTTCCCCACGGCCTGTAAAATCAAACACCGCGGCGAATGGAAAGCATGGTTTAAGCAGAAATATCTGTCGAGTATCAAACAATGTATCATTATCGAATCAATACCTTGGCAGCTCCAGTACTGCTGGGAATGATGTTGGTAGCAGCAGCTCTGCCACCTCTCCAGTCTTTCATTGACGGTCCATCGACAGTCTTTTGGGTGGCTGCATAACGTTGAGAAAAACCGGTGAGCAGTGAACGATCGATTACATATACGTATACACATATATACATATACATATATACACACACACACTCACCAGTTATAGAATGGACGGTAGTCATAAGACCCTCCACAATACCAAACTTGTCATGGATAACCTGTCAAGTTGAGAAGCTTAGCAGTTCATCACCAAATTAATTAGTTTTTCGTAATGGTTTTGACTGAAGCAACATAGACTTAGGGCAGACTTGCTTCTGCTCATAATCGCTTATGCTAGAAGTGCTTTCATTAGAAACACATTGAAATTCTTACTAAAAATCTAAATGCTTCTTAAAGAAGGCATATGGCAAACACTTTTCAAACAAAACAACCCTCGTATGATCCAAAACTACTTATAACTTTTTTCTACATTACGTAATCAAAAGTGCTTTTGGTTGTCATAAAATGCCTTTATTTCAAATTCATTCCCAAAAATGTCCCTAAGAAATTGAGACTAGATACCTTTGCCAATGGGGCAAGACAGTTGGTAGTGCAGCTGGCGTTGGAGACAATGTCAAGATCTGGCTTGTACTCCTTCTCATTGACACCCACAACAAACATTGGGGCATCCTTACTTGGGGCAGAAATGATAACCTTCTTTGCACCACCCTTTAAGTGCAGAGAGGCTTTTTCCTTATCGGTGAAAACTCCGGTGGACTCGACCACAAATTCCGCACCTGCTTCCCCCCACGGGATCTGTTCGGGATCCCTAGAAGCGAAAACTTTGACGGGCTTGTCACCAAAGAGAAGGGTCTTATCATCCTTAACCTTAAGCTCGTGGTGCTTCCATTGCCCGTGAACAGTGTCGTACTTAAACATGTAGCTCTGCATGAATGCAACATTTAAACTGTTACGTACGAGTATTGCGATTTTCAGTCTTTATCCAGGATCATTTCGTTAATGTTTCGCTCCAATTTTACGATACAAGCAATACACATCCCTTAACTATAAAATGATCACCAAACAATGTACAAACTATATTAAATTGGTTACATTATACTTACCATGTATTCGACGTTGATGAAAGGATCGTTGACAGCGACGAGCTCAATGTCATCTCTCTGGAGAGCAACCCTGGCCACCAAGCGGCCGATCCTTCCGAATCCTTCACCAGATGGACATCAAATCAACACCGTTGATGGTTAAATGGTGATCATATCATAAATACTAAATAGCAAGCAACAGAAAAATAAACACAAGAAGATACCATTGATGCCAATCTTGATCTTGGACATGATGAGTAATTTGTTTTGGTTAAAACGTCAAGAGAGTGAGAGTGAAAGGACTTGTAAGTGTGAACAAGGGAGTGTGAGAGTGTGAGTGCTATTTATAGGCTTGAATTCTCCGTTTTCAATTCGTATTTGTCGACGACGGAAACCAGTGCTGACATGGATGTCAGAGGTGGCGGCGTTGCCGTTCTTTTCGAGAAAGATGAACGGAGTTGAATTGGTAAAAACGTAAAAAAAGAAGTAGTAAATGTTGGCTTGTTTTCCTAAGCAGTTCAATTACAGAGGGGTACTGACTGCAATGACCACTTGGCGAGGGAAGCAGTTACAAAGCACTCTCCCTTCCTGAAACAGATTAGAAACTCACATGTCCGAGTGGGTTCAGACGAGTAATGCTATACTTACCATATTTTTCATACCACATTCACGGAACTTCTCTAATAGAGATATGACCTACCAACAAATGCATCCCGTCTCTATTAAAGAGGCGGTACAAATGCAGTAAGAGATGGGTTAGGACACCATCCAACTTTCACTCAAGGCGGCCTAAAAGATTCGGTGAAAGACCGTCCAAATTCAACTGGACCTCAATTGGATCATTTCTTAGTCAATTGTAATTATATTTTTCTGCACAGTTCTAATCGTTGGAATACATTATGAAAGTAACTTAAAAAGAATGTCTTTTAACTTTCTTAAGAACATCGTTAACGTAAAAAGACTGAATTCGCTTTGGGTGTGTTGAGTTCGTAATTGTTTCAACCTGACAAAATCCAAAACCAAACCAAACCAAAATTCTAAAGAACAGGTAAATGTTTCGTTGACCTTCCAACCCATCCAACCTGCCGAGTTGCCCACAAATTTAAATAATTGAAATTGTTCCACAATCCGTATAACTTAAAGACATTCACATGCCAAAGAAAATTACTCTACAAGATCATCAAATGTTGAGGTTTAGATGAACAAAATCTTGATCTATGAAGATACTTGGTGTAGCCGATTCGAAAACCTATGCATCGTTGTCAACCAACATTGTAGATATTCCCTGATTTTTCAACATTTTATCAATGATTTTCTTCAGTGCAGGTGCACTCACCCCACATTTCTGATCAACAAAACAAGATCTACCTTCTTCGGCAGCCTTACAAAGCTGCGGGTCCAACGGTACCTTCCCCAGAAAAGCCACCCCCATTTCCCCACACATTCTTTCAGCTCCACCGCGACTACTATCAAACACATCGGTGAAAGCTACTATGTTTGAGAATTCAGGCAATCTCTCTTTCAGCTGCTCCCTAGCCCATTCTGTGACATCTATTTGCTCAGCGGTCTCTGTCATCCTCAAAAACTTGAAATCCATAACTGGCTGGGACAAACCACTCATGTTTTCAACAACCCCAAGGACCTGAACTCCGACCTTCTTGCAGAAACTTACTTCTTTCCGAACATCAATCATGGAGACCTGTTGTGGAGTGGTGACTATGATTGCACCATCTATTGAGCCAGCATCAAGGTATTGGACAATTGAAATATGCTCGTCTGAGGTTCCAGGAGGAGCATCCACTATCAGGAAATCAAGCTCACCCCAATAAACATCCTTCAAGAATTGCTTAATGAGTGCATTTTTGCGCGGTCCCCTCCATATAACAGCGTCATCAGGATCCGGAAGCATAAAGCCAATTGACATGACCCCGAGGTTTTGCTCAACATAGACAGGAGACCAGCCAAGGTTGCTCTGGTGGATTTCTTGGCCTTCTAGGCCGAGCATCTTTGGGATGCTCGGGCCACAAATATCAATATCAAGAAGTCCCACCTGGAAGTCCATAGCTGCTAGTGCAAATGCAAGTTGGGCAGAGAATGTGCTCTTGCCAACTCCACCTTTTCCTGATAAAACCAGTATCTTATGCTTTACAGTGGCCATCCTTTCTGCAATTGCAACCACGTCTGTACCAAAATAATATACAAACCATCAAGACAAAAACACATCGTTCTTGAAGTCATAGATAAGATATAGTATTATAAACAGGAAAACGAACTCGCGCAGTCACACAAAGGATGAAAATCAAAGGCAGGTTAGTGATACTGTATACACTCGCATCAATTGGATGCCTTGCAACGATTACCTAATAAAATTCTGAAATAAGGGTTGCAACCAAACCCAACTAGTGACAAATGAATCGTAAAGGTCCATACTTTGATCAGACATTCGGTTAACATACACTAATTGCTCGAATACTTGCGCAACAAAATCACAATACCAAAGGAAAGCAAGGTTCCGAAAGAAAACTTATAGTCTCTGTTCTTCAAAATTCATGAAATTAACCATGATCATCATTAAAAAATTCATGAAATTAACATAAAAGCATCCATTTTGGCTCGTTCTTCAAAAAATTTATCACGGTTAGACAAATCACAGCAACAGGAGGAATAATTTACGGTACTCACGGGTTAAAATTAACTAAAAAATAACAGTTGAAAGCTGCATATAAAGGAACAAAAAGCAGAGCTTTAGGAGCCAGAGAGAGAAAGGAAACCTGGGTCGGGGCCCTTGGGAGCGGTAGCACAAATCTGCTGGTTCGGGCATCCATCGCAGGCGTCGGATTTGCCAGCCGAATCGGATTGCGGCCCCGGGCAATCTAAAACCAGTAGCATCCCACAAAAATTAAACCATAAGAATTCCGATGAAGAAGAAATTAATGAAAAGCTCAAGAGAATTAGGAAGAAAGGGCTTACGTTCGTTGGCGTCTTCGGGAATTTCACCGTTCTCCATGACTGACGATTTTCCGACCGACTTGGCTTCTTCTTTTTCACGTAAGCGTAGAGAGTCGGAGAGATATGAAAGAGTTTGAACCCGGTTTAGGTCAAACAAATTGCTAGACACGGAGTCGGTGTAGGAGAGTGTTGGAAAAACCAAACAAAAGTTTGAATTTTAGCATAAGGATAAAATAAAAATAAAGAGTAAACTAAATAGTATCATGATTGATTTTTTAATGTAAAATTATGATTTTTCATTAAAGTAAACGTTTTTCGTTAAAATTCTCAAAAACCAACCCTACCTACCCAGTTGTTGAAGCAATTTTTTAGTACTGTTGCAATGTTATTCTTCTTCGCTTGTAAGTTGCTACGTTCAATTCTCGTCAAAAATGAATTTGAACTACATTTCATTGTGAGATTTAGCCCATTCCTTCTTCTTAATATAAATAATACCGTTGCAAAAAATTGGGGAGCTTAGCCCAAATTTATCACAAATATTCCCTGCGTTTTCCGAAACTCATCACTAGCGTGTCAGAAAAAGAAATGTCGCAAAAGATGACCAAGAAAATGGCTAACAGAAAGCCGCACTTGAAAAAAGATGGAACTTTTTATGGACACAAGTGTTATTTATTGATCATTGTTTTGTTTTAAGACAAAACACTACATCCGTGTTATCTTCCCAAAAGAGGAAAAGAAAAACAGTAAATACGTAGGCTTTCAACTGAATTAATACTACACATTCCACCAGCCATCACACAAACATCCTTCGAAATCCAACACTTCGGTCATCCAACTGGAGCATCCTACCGGCTGCGGTGGTGGCACGGGTGGTATTTCATAGCTCCGTCCATCTCTGTCGTGACTTTCTGCTTGTTACTATACGGCTGCTGCTCTTCACCTGCACCCATAAAATTTCTCAAACTTTGAAGATGAAATCTGCTTCGACTAACAATCGACAGCTACTAACACCCACTGCTTCAACTTTCCGACATCTTTTCTTCATTGCCCTTCGGTAAGTCTCCGGGATGGAACCAAACACGGAATGAGCTAAAACATCTTCAGAATAAAGTCTGGATCTCTTATATGTTCCTTCTTGTTTCTTTTTTTATTTTTTTCTTATCCAATCAACCTTTCTTGTGTATTGCCCCTTCTCCTCCTCACAGTTTTCACTCTTTTTTCTATATTTTTTTTTATTTTCAATTTCGTTTCCCGGGAGATTATCTCTAGCTTCACAAGCTGCAGCCTCCTCATGATAGTACAAATCCTTACTGCAGAAACAAAGCATGCACTAACCAGCTTCTGCCCACTTTTGAACACTCGAACCTTGTAGATTCGAATCCACAACCAACAGCAAACAAATACTTGATGTCTTTCTCTTAGCCAACAAGGCAAAATTGGTACCTGTTTTCCTGACAGAATATGGCGCACTTGGGAGCGCCCTTTTCTCCATGCTTCTCTTGACAGTTGAGTAGGCTCTCCAAACAATGCAAGCAAAGCAAGTCTAGACAAAATGTCTCCTCATAATCGCAGTCTTTAAGGCAGCACCCGCAACTAATACAGCGAGCTATGCAGAGGGTGCAAGCCCTGCACTTCTGATCAGCAGGTTGTTTCCCTTGGCAACTCTTTGCAGGGCAATCATAAACTAAACTAAGTCTCTGGCACCTGGGGCATGCTTCGATGTCGATGGGACAATCATCATCACAAGAGCCATACGACAACCCACCATTAAAAAACCGAGGTTTCGGGGCTCCAGGCTGGATATGGTTATCTGTGGCCAGCAAGAATTTCAACTCTTCGAACTGCTTGTCTGTTATACCAGAGAGCCCACCAATTCTTAACTGCTTTATTCCGGGGTTGCCTGCAGACTTCAAGGTCCTTATGTTTAACAAGATGCACTCGACACTGATTTTAAGACATCCGGGAACACTTAACTGCACAGGGAAAAAAGTGTACATATGTAAGTTTGATGCACAAGAAATGTTTTTCACAGAAATTAAATAGGGGAAAGTAGCCCCAACGATCATATGTAACTTCAGAACATTTTATCCCAAGGGAAAGCAACATAAAAGCATTTTTTTTTAAATGTCACTGAACAATAGAGAGGTATCCTGTTATACAAAATCGTAATCAGAAACACAAGCAGGAATGTCGAAAATACAGAAATTCAAATACTCACCTTTGTCAACCTCGGGTTGCTGTCAAACACACCCTGCAGCCCACCATCAGTGATCTTAACGCAATGCACTAAACCCAAGGTTTGAAGTGTGCCTTGAGCCCTGCTTGTTAGTTTTACAAGAACATCATCGGTGATGCGTTCAT